CTTTGTCCTGAAACATCCTTCCTTAGCAACATATCAATCTAATGTGTCCATAACACCATTAACAACCAGATACATTGCTCAATTAAATTACAAAATGAGCTGCAAAGCCCTTGTTGTGTTTCTTGTTTAATTTACATTGCTTTCTGCCTATCTGGGGAGACTCACATTATAATACCTACTGAACTTTAATATGTTCTACAATTATTTGGTCTGGGATAATATGGCTGTCACCTATAGAATTAATGGAAGCAATTTCACAAAATATTAAACAGAAGACAGCCTGTTTAACAGCAGAAAATATTACAAGCACCCACATTATTTTCCAATATTAGTTCTGGGAATGGGTCTTATGGAAGAATGATGCTTCTGTTTTCTTTATAATGATCGCGTTTTTGTACAATAGACAAAAGCTATATGCCATCCAAAATACACTTAAAAGCGATGGAGATCACTGTTTTCAAGGCTATGAAGTATTTATATAGACAAAACAAGAGAACTGGTTTGCTTATTCTATCATAGAAAATGTAGTATTTAGCCTATTAAGATTCAATTTCTGAGTTTAATGGCAAGATGGAAAACCGCGCTAAAATGCCAAGTTCACTTTTGTTGTTATCAGCCTTATAATTTTCATACTTCTATTTCCAGCCTCCAGTTGTGCTTTTGCTATCTTATTCCGTTCAAATAATTTATAATACCAACATTTACATGTGCTCTTAAGTCATTTAGTTCAGCACAGAGCTATCTAGCAAGCACTACTGATAGTTCCAGTTTGCTGTAGGTATGTAGTTTTGTCCCACTTTCCAGAAAGCAAGGAGTGAACAAAAAGTGACAATTAACACCTCCAGGCTTTTGTTTCCATGTTAAGTCCTCAAATATTTATCTACCTATATATCATTATCTGTCTTACAGGACTCCAAACTGTATAGGACTCTATACTGACAATTTAAAAGGGTCATTAGCAGATAATTAAGATCTAGTAATAATGATTTCACAATATCTAGTATTAATCGAAAAAGTCAAAGAAAATACTGTGTTGTTTGGAAACAACATTCCCCTGATATGTCTGCAGTGAATTTTGTAGCTTTATTATAGTATAAGGCCTGGAAAGCAAAATAGACTATAACCCTAAAATGAATCTGACAAGTTTGTCTCATTGTCCAAGCTGAGTGAAATGCACAGCATTAATCGTTCAAGTAATTTAGGTTTATTAAATATTGAGCCTGCTCCTGCTGCCATTAAAGTCAATGGGAGATTTACCATCAACTAGTTGTAGTTAACAATAGGTAAAAGAAGTGTGCCCATCTAAAGAACAAATATTGACAAGTGAAGTCCTTTCCCCACAGAAGTCAACTGCAAAACTCTTCATTGACCTCCATGGGGCCAGAATTTTACCCACGGATAAGATAATTCTTTGGGCTTCCCATAAACTTTCTGGGGTTCATCTAAACTGAAGAGTCTTTTAAACAAGGCATGGAAATTTCCAAGTTGCTCCTAGCCTCGCTTGCTGCTGGAGGAGTTGAGTATGAAAGTCTGCCTCCTGGATATGAAAACATCGGAATCTCCCTCCCTCTTATGTACATCCTAACCCTGTTTCCCTTTGGGATACCCTCCCTTCCACTTGGCCCCTTTTCTTCTGTCCATCATGTCTATTATGGTCCTCACTGCCTCAGTCCAGCAACCCATGTAAGCAAATTGAGCTGTTCCATAAATACATACTTGCTTAAGCTAAGATTAGCTATGCCATCTAAAGGCTCCCCCTCTCCCCCGCAACTAAAAGGGACACTTACTTGTTGACATAGAGCTTTGTACAAACTGGAGACTTCCCTTGTTCCCTAGAATGACTTCTATTCCCATCTGCTTTGCCAGACTGCCACTGCTATTTGACACCTTTCCCAAAGCTCAGACTGGTGTCAATTACATGGAGACACCTGATTTCAACTGAAGTTGCACCCTTGCAACACAGCAGAATGGCCTTCTACATTTAAGTGTAGCATTTAGAGCTGGTTTGCGCTGCTTCCCTCACTCCCCTCCCCCACCCCCCACACTTCCTGCAGCTTAATGGGGCTTGAGGGCTTCTCTGGGACTGCAGCAGAGCTAGAGAGATTGGGGGCTCCTCTCTACCCCCCTCTGCAGGCCAAGAGGAGCACGTGGGAGAGGGGACAGGGACAAATTTGGTGCCCCACATTTTCGGGTGCCCTAAGCAGCCGTATATTTCACGTATGCCACAATTACAAAATAAATCAATAAACTAAATCAACTGGAACATAAATATTCTACTACAGTTCAGTGTACAGTAGACAGAGCAGTATAAAGTCATTGTTCATATGCAATTTTAGTTTGTAGGCCACGTCTTCGCTTCCCAAAAGACTGACATTGCAGCGGTCGATCTTCCGGAGTTCGATTTAGTGGGTCTAGTAAAGAATTCTAATTACAAAATAAATCAATAAACTAAATCAACTGGAACATAAATATTCTACTACAGTTCAGTGTACAGTAGACAGAGCAGTATAAAGTCATTGTTCATATGCAATTTTAGTTTGTAGGCCACGTCTTCGCTTCCCAAAAGACTGACATTGCAGCGGTCGATCTTCCGGAGTTCGATTTAGTGGGTCTAGTAAAGAATTCTCAGTCGAACTCCCACTCCTCACGAGGAGTAACGGAAGTGGATGGGAGTGATTCTCCCATCAACCTCCCCCTGTGAGGACAGCACCAAAGTGCAGCTTAAGGTACAATGACCCCAGCTATGTTTTTTAGGTAGCTGGAATTATGTACCTTAAGCTGACCTTTGGCTGTCGTGTAGATCTGGCCTTACTGAATTCACTAGTGTTTTTCATGTAGCTGGTTGTAAAACTAGGTAACTTATCTAAATGAGTTGAAGTCTATGTATCCTGGTTGTGAACCACTTCACTAGGGATAAAATTGAGTGGGCTATCACTTAAAATGGACTTATGTGATATATAGGCCTTCTGAATACATATATACACTTCAATAAAGTTGTTTAATCCAAGATAGCTTTGTTAAACAATACCATTTTATTTGAACAAATTAAGGCTGCCTCTTAGTTTATAAATATTGATGATTTATTACTTTTTACTGGCATCAGAGGCTGCAGCAGCCCAGATGGGAAGAGAGGAATGTATTAAACTACTTCATTGCTTACTCTTGAGGATATTAATTTGTATAAATACAGTTCATTTACATATCTTGTAAACATGTAATGCTTTCTATTAAATTTGTCGCTGTAAATATCTAAATTTAATTTAATTCATTAAATTTTTTTAAACGAGTTACAGAAAAAAAAAAAAAGAAAACTAACCCATAAGCAGTGAGCAATGCCAGTGAAAAGTAATAACAAAGGCATATTTATGAAGCCCGTAACGATCTAGGAAGAGGCACCTACCTTCAGCAACAGAAATAAAACATGCTGTTTTCCAGAGAGCAAGAGGGTCTAAGATTAATATTGAAGAGCAGTGAGTTTTATTACCTGTCTCCCATATATCCAGCTGTACAAAGGCATTTTCCTGTCACATGATCGCACAGTCCTCCATTATGGCAGGGACAATCCTGGCTGCAGTTAATTCCAAATGTTCCAGGCGGGCATGGCTGTGCACACACAAAGCCCTGGGGAGGTGCAGAAAGAGCCATGTTTCAGTGAAGAGTTGCAACATTCTAAATATTGATTCGTGTATTTATTCGGTCCATCCGGCTACTCTGGCAATGTGTCTTGTGGACGTGGTTTAAGAGAAGATCAAGGCGAGCCTAAAGATTCTTCCACCAGAATTAACTCCTGCCTCCCATCCGCTCCATATACAATTGTCTCCTGTCCCCCTGGCTGCTCTCTGCATAGACAAACCAAGAGTCGTAGAGATATAACTGGGTTCCCTGCTGATGTCCCTCTGCACACCCACAGAACAATGCCCCAACTTTCTTCTCTGCAGCCTCCAGCCTTGCCTCGGGAGGAGACCGTCTCGCTGAATCAACCTGCATAAGCAACCTGCATAAGACGCTGTCCATAAACTATAGTAACCTGCCACTATAGCTAGGGTTGCCAGATGGTTGAAACGAAAATACCGAACAACCTCCCCCCCCCAGAAAAAACTCCGGGAAAAAATTCTTTTGAAGGAGGAAAGGGGGGGGGGGGAACCAAAGTTGTTGACCAAAACAAACAAACAAACAAACAAAAAAAGGACTCCAAGGACTTATTAAGCCAAAAAGAAAATGTAAAATAAAACAGCATGTCCCCTTTAACAGTGAGTGCAGGGACAGGAACAGGGGAGCGGTTGAGCACTAAGACCCAGGGGAAGCATTGCCCTAGGTCTTTTGGCTGGCAGCTATTTTGTGCCGGCAGCCTTGGGGAACCAAGTAAGCATGGGGGCTGGGGTCAAAGGACTCCAAGGACTTATTAAGCCAAAAAGAAAATGTAAAATAAAACAGCATGTCCCCTTTAACAGTGAGTGCAGGGACAGGAACAGGGGAGCGGTTGAGCACTAAGACCCAGGGGAAGCATTGCCCTAGGTCTTTTGGCTGGCAGCTATTTTGTGCCGGCAGCCTTGGGGAACCAAGTAAGCATGGGGGCTGGGGTCGGGG